CATTTTTGCTTCATGGACACCTAATTATCAATTTGTACCTATAAGATACTAAATCCACCAATTAAAACAAAAATATAAATTAATCCATAAAAAAATCCACGTAAACGTAAACGTTGAGTGTTATTTCTACACTCCACTGTATCTTTTGTATTTAGTGTTTTTGCTATTGCTTTATTATGCGTATTAAAGTCCTAGTGTAACGCCCCACAACCTAACAGCAGAATCCACTCGGATGACCACCATTAAGTTAGGGATGCTAAACTTTCATATATATACTTAAACATTATGGTTTTAATACAAAAATACGTTATATGCTTTGAAAAGATATCAAACTTTGTACTTTCTCATAGTCTGTGTAATTTCTCAAAATCTGTACTTATATATATATTCATGGTTTACAAAATTACATTGTACAAAAACCATAATAGAGAGCGGCTAACAAAACGAAATCAGAGTTTCTAGCTCGGCTACAAAAATGGCTCGAAGCATGGCATATGAACAAATCTCTGTCTGGCCGCTCTTGGCTAGGTCAACTTCTAAACATGTACATCATTACCTGCATTATAAGAACCTAATGAGCTAATGGCTCAGCAAGTTGAAACTGATGTAATAGCAATATATCACATAACACGTTATTCATTCAATATGTACAATATCACATCTATGACTTTGTTTGTGATCCTTTTCTTTGAAATCCTTCTCTTTATCGGGTACCCTTGAAGTGTGGTACTTGACTGATAGCAATAGGCTTTCGTTTTCAGAATCTGTTCATCATATTTGGCCAATAGATAATACGGGGGTTTCCATACCGGCCTTTCGACCTCAGGTATTAGCCGTATTTCATTTCTTTAATTGTGGGTTTTCCATACTGGTCTTTCGACCTCAGGTATTTGCCACCATGTGTTGGGTCCGCCGGTTCCTCCCGCGTCCCTTGCCTACTCGACCATCAATCAAGTACCATACTCCCATTTTCAAAAGATATTCTTTCATATCACTATGACTCATCAATCATTCAAACATCATGGAGAACACATAGCAAAAGTCACATTAAAACACACATAATTAGGTTCTTATGATGAGCAAATGAAAGCTTCAACTTACCTCAAGTTCAATATGGTCTATGAAGTGAAAAGATCAGTCTCATATAGGCTGTGCTAGAGTCCTTGATTATAGTTGAATTCAAACTTCAAAACGTAGGATTTTCATCTAGAAAAGGTGCAGAACTTGTTCTAGCTCTACTTCTATGAGTTCTTATGTTTGATGTTCTCTTATGTGAGGATGGAAGTGAAGAAATATGAAGAGAAGCTGAAGGAAATAGGTCTGGTCGTTTTTTGGAAGAAGACAAGTGAAATGAAGACCAAAACACAAAAGTCTTCACTTATCTACCCATTTCCAACTAGGCCAAATGGAGGATGATGATTGGAAGGCTTATATTTGCTGGATTCTTGTGGTTCCTCCACGTTTTTCTAGCTTGAGATAAGATATGGGCTGATGCTTACTCATTATAATCAAGTGTAAACAATTTGAGAATGGTCTTGTGCAACCTAGTCAACCAACCAATAAAATTGCACCCTTTTGCATACTTTTGCTTTTAGTCTAATATGAGTTACTTCAAGTAATTACATATGTAATTAATCATATTAAAATGTAATTAAAATGTAGAACTGCAATTAAGACAAATATATCAGCGTTTAGCACATTGATCCCTTCTTAACCGAGAAACTGAGCTTCTCACTACAATAAATCACTTAAGTCTCATGTTAAGTCATAAAATAGGAGTTCAATAACATGTATCATGTATCAGCACATTTTAAGAAAAGTATTCGATCACGCATTAAAACACAATTAAGGCACATGTGTAGCAAGTAGTCGTGATCATGCATCATGAATAATGAATTATAACTCCATGCATTGATGCAATATGCTTATTATTGGCCATGTACGGATGATTGGGCATTACAATCCTTCCCTCCTTATAAAATTTCGCCCTCGAAATTTTACGTACCGAACAATTCTGGATATTTGCTATGCATTTCTTCCTCTCTTTCCCATGTGGCTTCTTCAATAGATTGATTTCTCCACAATACCTTAACTAATGGAATCTTTTTATTTCTCAGCTCCTTGACTTTTTGATCAATAATTTGAATTGGTTTCTCCTCATAAGACAAATCTGCAGAAAACTCCAACGGTTCATGACTCAACACATGAGAGGGATTTGAAATGTACTTCTTCAACATAGACACATGGAAAACATTGTGAACACCAGATAATGAAGGAGGTAAGGCTACTCTATATGCTCTATCACCAACTCTTTCAAGGATTTCAAACGGACCAACATATCTTGGACTAAGTTTTCCTTTCTTTCCAAATCGCATGATGCCTTTCAATGGAGTCACTTTCAAAAATACATGGTCGCCAACCGTAAACTCTGGATCTCTTCTTCGTTTATCTGCATAGCTTTTCTGTCTACTCTGTGCCGTCTTCATTCTTTCCCTTATCTTCTATAGCGTCTCAGCTGTATGTTGCACCATCTCTGGCCCAAGTAGACTTCTTTCGCCAACTTCATCCCAATGAACTGGAGATCTACATTTTCTCCCATATAGTGCTTCATAAGGTGCCATTCCAATTGTGGATTGATAGCTGTTATTGTAAGTGAACTCTACCAACGGAAGTTTTTCATCCCAACTCCCTTTCAAATCTAGAACACAAGCTCTTAACATATCCTCAAGTATTTGAATAACTCTCTCGGATTGTCCATCAATCTGTGGATGAAATGTTGTACTAAATGCAAGCTTGGTCCCCATGGCATTGTGCAAACTCTTCCAAAATGCAGAAGTAAACTTCGGATCTCTATCAGACACTATTGACACTGGCACTCCATGCAATCTAACTACCTCTTTAATATATTGTTGTGCATATTGCTCCATGTTGAATGTGGACTTCACTGGAAGAAAATGGGCTGATTTAGTTAGTCTATCAACAATCACCCATATGGAATTGTATCCCCTTTGTGTTCTAGGCATTCCAAGCACAAAATCCATTGTAATATGCTCCCATTTCCACTCTGGAATCAGTAAAGGTTTCAATAGTCCTGCTGGTCTTTGATGTTCCATTTTAACTTGTTGACAAGTGAGGCATTCAGCCACAAACTTTGCTATATCTTTCTTCATGTTAGGCCACCAGTAGTGTAGTTGTAAGTCTTTATACATTTTTGTGCTGCCCGGGTGCACCGAGTAAAGACTTCTGTGAGCTTCTTCCAAAATGTCGCCCTTTATGTTAGCATCAAAAGGAACACACAATCTGCCTTTATATCTAATTATTTCATCGTTACCAATAGAGAAGTTCGGCCTCTTATTAGCATCAATCATACTTCGCAACCTGGACAAATACTTATCCACTTTCTGAGCCTCTTTGATTCGGTCATGCAGTACGAGTTTTAATACTAAAGATGATAAAGAACTAACCGTCCCTTTAGGTACAATTTCAAGCTCTAATCTTTGTAAATCCAGTAGTATTGGTTTCTGTATAACAAGGAAGGAAGACATAGATTTCCGACTCAATGCATCTGCAACTACATTAGCTTTACCAAGATGATAGTTCATCACACAGTCATAATCCTTCACAAGTTCTAACCATCTTCGTTGTCTCATATTCAATTCTTTCTGAGTGAAGAAGTACTTCAAGCTCTTGTGATCCGTGTAAATCTCACATTTCTCACCATATAGGTAATGCCTCCAAATTTTCAAGGCAAACACAACGGCAGCAAGCTCTAAATCATGAGTTGGGTAATTCTTCTCATACTCCTTCAATTGTCTTGAATCATAGGCGATAACATTCCCATGTTGCATCAATACAGCACCCAATCCATTTTTTGAAGCATCACTATACACTACGAATACACCAGTTCCAGAAGGAATGACGAGAACAGGAGTTGTAGTCAATCTCCGTTTCAACTCTTGAAAGCTACTTTCACATGCATCAGTCCATACATACTTCACGTTCTTTCGTGTAAGCATTGTTAATGGAGTTGCTATCTTGGAAAACCCCTGAACAAATCTTCGATAATATCCTGCCAATCCTAAGAAACTTCTAACCTCTGATACAGTTGTTGGTGTTGGCCAATTTTTGACAGCTTCTATCTTACTCGGGTCAACAGAAATACCATTCTTGGACACGACATGCCCTAGGAATACAACTTGATCAAGCCAAAACTCGCACTTCTTAAATTTAGCATATAGTTGCCTTTCTTTCAATATATGCAACACCACTCTCAAATGTTCTCTATGTTCGTCTTTATCATGGGAATAGATCAAGATATCATCAATGAACACAATCACAAATTTGTCGAGGAACTCCTTGAACACCCTATTCATCAAATCCATAAAAACTGCGGGGGCATTTGTTAAGCCAAAGGGCATGACTAGAAATTCATAATGTCCGTACCTTGTTTTAAATGCAGTCTTTTGTATGTCATCCTCCTTTATTTTCAATTGATGATACACGGAGCGTAAATCGATCTTCGAAAATATTGATGCTCCTTGCAATTGATCAAACAAATCATCTATTCTGGGTACTCGATATTTGTTCTTGATTGTAAGTTTGTTCAGTTCTCTATAATCGATGCATAAACGTAATGTACCATCCTTCTTTTTCACAAACAAAACCGGTGCTCCCCAAGGAGAATAACTCGGCCGAATAAGACCTTTATGCAACAAGTCTTGTAGTTGAATCTTCAACTCTTTTAGTTCTGTTGGTGCCATTCTGTATGGAGCTTTAGAAATAGGAGTACTTTCGGGCAACGTATCAATAACAAATTCAATTTCTCGATCCGGTGGCAGTCCTGGTAAGTCATCTGAAAATACCTCAAGAAATTGATCAACCACATCCACATCTTGGGGTTGCAATTGTGTTCCTACTGAAGTGTCCATAACATTAGCCAAGTATCCAACACAACCCTTACTCCTCATCTTTTGAGCCTTCAATGCAGCTATAAATGGTATTCAAGATGAAAGTGAATGACTGCCAAACTCGAAATGTTCTTCACCAGGTGGCTGGAAGATGACAACCTTCCGATTACAATTAATGGTTGCATAATATTTTGTAAGCCAATCCATGCCCAAAATAGTCTCAAAATTTGCGACAGGTAAAACAACAAGATCCGCACACAGTGTTCTACCACTTATCTGAATAGAACAATGTTTCAACATTTGGTTGGAATTCATCTCTTCCCCTGACGGAGTCGTCACATTGTACATCACATCTAACGTATCTGGTATAATGCCCAATCTCCTCACCAATGAATGTGATGCAAATGAATGCGTAGATCCTGAGTCTATTAATGCAAGTGCTGGAGTTCCTAAAATCAAAATAGTACCTGAGACAACGGATGCATCTGCATCAGCTTGTTCTTTAGTCATTGCGTACACTCTCGCTTGAACTTTGACTGGTGGGGTGCGACAATTCCTTGCAATATGCCCTGGCTTCTTACACTTGAAGCAACGATTTAAACCGCTATAGCATTCTCCAAAATGATTCTTCCCACATGTGGCACACTTGGGCTTTTCAACTGTAGTAGAACTTTGTACAACTCTAGGGCGTTTCTCATTTACTTGGCCTGTTTTTGCTCTGGTTTCTTCCATTGAGATTGAGTTCTTTGAGTAAAAGTTTGCCTCTTCTGTTGATGAAATTTCTGAATTTCCTTCTCATCAAAGTCAGCCATCAATGCGTTGTCCACCACTTGTCGAAACTCGTTTGGAGAAGAGATCCTTACATCTTTTCTAATAACTGGGTTGAGGCCTCTCATGAAGTGATCAATCTTTTCTTTGTTATCTTTGGCTATGTAAGGTACATACTTGCAACCCTCCTCGAATTTTCGCACGTAGTCACATACGGACATTTCATTCTGCTTCAATTCTAAGAACTCTTTAACTTTGAGTGACCGAGCATCCCTCGTGAAATACTTGTCATAAAAGATTGTTTTGAATGCCTCCCATGTCAACTTCTCCATATCCACTGCATGTTTTGTACCCTCCCACCAAGTTCTAGCTTCTCTCTTCAATAGGAAAATGGCACAAAGTACTTTTTCGGAATCTTCGATACGCATGTAATCAAAGATGACATCTAGAGATTTAACCCATTCTTCTGCAACCATAGGATCAGACCCACCATAGAAATCAACCGGTTCCATTTTACGAAACTTCTCATACACGGTAAGCGAGTTATCGTGTCTAGCTTGTGGAGGAGGTTGTTGGTTTTCTTCATGGGTTCGCTGTTGCATATCGAACAATTTTTGTATCTGTTCGCCATGCATTCTAGTCTGTTGCTGAATCAAACCAGCTAAATTATCAACTAAGTTTTAGTCACCCTCGTGGTCAACATTCCCTGACTTCCTTTTTGGTGCCATTACTTCCTATACATTGTCGAATCTCATCCCGTTCATTAGCCAATACTAATGCACAATCATGACAATGGCATATATATGTTAATAAATAAAACACATAGGTAAATAAGAAGAGAGTTAACCAAGCTTCCCAGCCAAAGTATGTTCATATGCCTTCTTCTGTCTTCAGAAAAGATTTTAAGCCTCCGCTCTGATACCACAAAATGTAACGCCCCACAACCTAACAGCAGAATCCACTCGGATCACCACCATTAAGTTAGGGATGCTACACTTTCATATATATACTTAAACATTATGGTTTTAATACAAAAATACATTATATGCTTTGAAAAGATATCAAACTTTGTACTTTCTCATAGTCTGTGTAATTTCTCAAAATTTGTACTTATATATATATTCATGGTTTACAAAATTACATTGTACAAAAACCATAATAGAGAGCGGCTAACAAAACGAAATCAGAGTTTCTAGCTCGGCTACAAAAATGGCTCGAAGCATGGCATATGAACAAATCTCTGTCTGGCCGCTCTTGGCTAGGTCAACTTCTAAACATGTACATCATTACCTGCATCATAAGAACCTAATGAGCTAATGGCTCAGCAAGTTGAAACTGATGTAATAGCAATATATCACACAACACGTTATTCATTCAATATGTACAATATCACATCTATGACTTTGTTTGTGATCCTTTTCTTTGAAATCCTTCTCTTTATCGGGTACCCTTGAAGTGTGGTACTTGACTGATAGCAATAGGCTTTCGTTTTCAGAATCTGTTCATCATATTTGGCCAATAGATAATACGGGGGTTTCCATACCGGCCTTTCGACCTCAGGTATTAGCCGTATTTCATTTCTTTAATTGTGGGTTTTCCATACTGGTCTTTCGACCTCAGGTATTTGCCACCATGTGTTGGGTCCGCCGGTTCCTCCCGCGTCCCTTGCCTACTCGACCATCAATCAAGTACCATACTCCCATTTTCAAAAGATATTCTTTCATATCACTATGACTCATCAATCATTCAAACATCATGGAGAACACATAGCAAAAGTCACATTAAAACACACATAATTAGGTTCTTATGATGAGCAAATGAAAGCTTCAACTTACCTCAAGTTCAATATGGTCTATGAAGTGAAAAGATCAGTCTCATATAGGCTGTGCTAGAGTCCTTGATTATAGTTGAATTCAAACTTCAAAACGTAGGATTTTCATCTAGAAAAGGTGCAGAACTTGTTCTAGCTCTACTTCTATGAGTTCTTATGTTTGATGTTCTCTTATGTGAGGATGGAAGTGAAGAAATATGAAGAGAAGCTGAAGGAAATAGGTCTGGTCGTTTTTTGGAAGAAGACAAGTGAAATGAAGACCAAAACACAAAAGTCTTCACTTATCTACCCATTTCCAACTAGGCCAAATGGAGGATGATGATTGGAAGGCTTATATTTGCTGGATTCTTGTGGTTCCTCCACGTTTTTCTAGCTTGAGATAAGATATGGGCTGATGCTTACTCATTATAATCAAGTGTAAACAATTTGAGAATGGTCTTGTGCAACCTAGTCAACCAACCAATCAAATTGCACCCTTTTGCATACTTTTGCTTTTAGTCTAATATGAGTTACTTCAAGTAATTACATATGTAATTAATCATATTAAAATGTAATTAAAATGTAGAACTGCAATTAAGACAAATATATCAGCGTTTAGCACATTGATCCCTTCTTAACCGAGAAACTGAGCTTCTCACTACAATAAATCACTTAAGTCTCATGTTAAGTCATAAAATAGGAGTTCAATAACATGTATCATGTATCAGCACATTTTAAGAAAAGTATTCGATCACGCATTAAAACACAATTATGGCCCATGTGTAGCAAGTAGTCGTGATCATGCATCATGAATAATGAATTATAATTACATGCATTGATGCAATATGCTTGTTATTGGCCATGTACGGATGATTGGGCATTACACCTAGTATTGTATTTCGTGTTTTTAAGAATGTTGTTGCGAATGTACTTTTGCGCATGTTTTTTTACATGTACATTTGTGCATGTCCATTTGAGCGAGTGTGTTTGTGCATGTTTGTTGATTTGTATTAATGTCCTAGGATTGTAGTTTGTGTTTTCGTGATCCTTTTTGCGAATGCACTTTTGCGTGAGTACTTTTGTGCATGCTTTTGTACTTTTACTTATGTGCGTATATTTTGCAGCGAGTGTTTTTGTGCACGTTTCTTGATGCGCATTCGTGTCCTCGAACTGTAGCACGTATTTTCGTGATCGCTTTTGGAATCAAATATTGACCATGTTCGAGTCCGAATTTGGAAATTTGACATTAGACAGGAATTGTAGCCAGCTAAAATAACTTTCTAATGTCGCCGGAACCAGTTGATTTGGAGTCCGGATGAGAAAGTTATGCTCGACTTAGTAGACACTACCGAAGATGTTGAGGGATCCTCTCTTCCAATTTGATTTTATTTTCCTAATTGCAACTCTTTTCTTACTCTTTGATCATTTTTGCTTCATGGACACCTAATTATGTATTTGTACCTATAAGATACTAAATCCACCAATTAAACAGAAATATAAATTAATCCATAAAAAAATCCACGTAAACGTAAACGTTGAGTGTAGCTGTATCTTTTGTATTTAGTGTTTTTGCTATTGTTTGGTTATGCGTATTAAAGTCCTAGTGTTGTATTTCGTTGATTATAAAAACGTTGTTGCGAATGAACTTTTGCGCATATTTTTTTACATGTACGTTTGTGCATGTCTATTTGAGCGAGTGTGTTTGTGCATGTTTGTTGATTTGTATTAATGTCCTAGGATTGTAGTTTGTGTTTTCGTGATCCTTTTTGCGAATGCACTTTTGCGTGAGTACTTTTGTGCATGCTTTTGTACTTTTACTTATGTGCGTATATTTTGCAGCGAGTGTTTTTGTGCACGTTTCTTGATGCGCATTCGTGTCCTCGAACTGTAGCACGTATCAATTTTGACCAGGTTCGAGTCCGAATTTGGAAATTTGACATTAGACAGGAAATGTAGCCAGCTAAAATAGCTTTCTAATGCCGCCGGAACCAGTTGATTTGGAGTCCGGATGAGAAAGTTATGCTTGACTACGTGGACACTACCGAAGATGTTGAGGGATCCTCTCTTCTAATTTGATTTTATGAAGATGTTGAGGGATCCTCTCTTCTAATTTGATTTTATTTTCCTAATTGCAACTCGTTTCTTACTCTTTGATCATTTTTGCTTCATAGACACCTAATTATGTATTTGTACCTATAAGATACTAAATCCACCAATTAAAACAGAAATATTAATTAAGCCATAAAAAAATCCACGTAAACGTAAACGTTGAGTGTTATTTCTACACTCAACTGTATCTTTTGTATTTAGTGTTTTTGCTATTGTTTTGGTATGCTTATTAAAGTCCTAGTATTGTATTTCGAGTTTTTAAGAACGTTGTTGCGAATGTACTTTTGCGCATATTTTTTTACATGTACGTTTGTGCATGTCCATTTGAGCGAATGTGTTTGTGCATGTTTGTTGATTTGTATTAATGTCCTAGGATTGTAGTTTGTGTTTTCCTGATCCTTTTTGCCAATGCACTTTTGCGTCAGTACTTTTTTGCATGCTTTTGTGCGTATATTTTGTAGCGAGTGTTTTTGTGCACGTTTCTTGATGCGCATTCGTGTCCTCGAACGGTAGCACGTATTTTCATGATCGCTTTTGGAATCCAATTTCGACTTGGTTCGAGTCCGAATTTGGAAAGTTGACATTAGACAGGAATTGTAGCCAGCTAAAATAGCTTTCTTATTCCGCCGGAACCAGTTGATTTGGAGTCCGGATGAGAAAGTTATGCTCGACTTCGTGGACACTACCGAAGATGTTGAGGGATCCTCTCTTCTAATTTGATTTTATTTTCCTAATTGCAACTCTTTTCTTACTCTTTGATCATTTTTGCTTCATGGACACCTAATTATGAATTTGTACCGATAAGATACTAAATCCACCAATTAAAATAGAAATATAAATTAATCCATAAAAAAATTCACGTAAACGTAAACGTTGAGTGTTATTTCTTCACTCCATTGTATCTTTTGTATTTAGTGTTTTTGCTATTGTTTGGTTATGCGTATTAAAGTCCTAGTGTTGTATTTCGTGTTTTTAAGAACGTTGTTGCGAATGTACTTTTGCGCATGTTTTTTTACATGTACGTTTGTGCATGTCCATTTGAGCGAGTGTGTTTGTGCATGTTTGTTGATTTGTATTAATGTCCTAGGATTGTAGTTTGTGTTTTCGTGATCCTTTTTGCGAATGCACTTTTGCGTGAGTACTTTAGTGCATGCTTTTGTACTTTTACTTATGTGCGTATATTTTGTAGCGAGTGTTTTTGTGCACGTTTCTTGATGCGCATTCGTGTCCTCGAACTGTAGCACGTATTTTCATGATCGCTTTTGGAATCCAATTTCGACTTGGTTCGAGTCCGAATTTGGAAATTTGACGTTAGACAGGAATTGTAGCCAGCTAAAATAGCTTTCTTATTCCGCCGCAACCAGTTGATTTGGAGTCCGGATGAGAAAGTTATGCTCGACTTCGTGGACACTACCGAAGATGTGGAGGGATCCTCTCTTCTAATTTGATTTTACTTTCCTAATTGCAACTCTTTTCTTACTCTTTGATCATTTTTACTTCATGAACACCTAATTATGAATTTGTACCTATAAGATACTAAATCCACCAATTAAAACAGAAATATAAATTAATCCATAAAAAAATCCACCAATTAAAACAGAAATATAAATTAATCCATAAAAAAATCCACGTAAACGTAAACGTTGAGTGTTATTTCTACACTCCACTGTATCTTTTGTATTTAGTGTTTTTGCTATTGTTTGGTTATGCG